CCAGCTCGTCCCGCAGCCCAGCCGCGGCCGCACGTACCCAGGTGGCTGTGGAAGGGCCGCGCCGCCAGCAGCGCCTGCACGCCGAACTTGAGCAGGCAGGCGGCGGCGGCGGCGGCGGCGGCGGCGGCAGGCTCAGCTCTGGGGCTCCTCGGGAGCCTCGCCGCCCTCGTCCCCGGCGCTGTCGGCTGTCCACAGCGACAGGTTGTCTCTCAGCAGCTGCATGATGAGGGTGCTGTCTTTGTAGGAGTCCTCGCTGAGCGTGTGCAGGTCGGCCATGGCCTCGTCAAAAGTGGTCTTGGCCAGCGAGATGGCCTCGTCGGGGCTGTTGGCGATCTCGTAGTGGAAGACGGAAAAGTTCAGCGCCAGGCCCAGGCGGATGGGGTTGGTGGGCGGCATCTCCTTCTTGCTGATGTCCATGGCCTCCTGGTAGGCTGCCCGGGCAGAGTCGATGATGCGCTTCTTGTCGTCCCCCGTGGCCACCTCGGCCAGGTAGCGGTAGTAGTCGCCCTTCATCTTCAGGTAGAAGACCCGGCACTCGGCCTCGCCGGCCTCCTTGATGAGGTGCGAGTCCAGGAGGCCCAGCACGGTGTCGCACACGCCCCGGAGCTCGGCCTCCACCTTCTCCCGGTACTCCCGCACCTCGGGGCCCTTCTCCTCCGAGCCCTCCTCCGTGCTTTTCTGCTCGATGCTGGACAGGACCCTCCAGGCGGCCCTCTGGCCGCCCACCACGTTCTTGTAGGCCACGGAGAGCAGGTTCCGCTCTTCGCAGGACAGGTCCTCGCCCTTCTCCACGGCGCCCTTCATGAAGGCTGCCATGTCCTCGTAGCGCTCAGCCTGCTCTGCCAGCTTGGCCTTCTGGATCAGACCGGCTCTTTCCATGGCTCTGGGGACAGACGTGGGCGGCGGGCTAACTGTCTGCCAGGGGACCGATGCCGGGTTGTGCGCCTCTGCTCCTCTCCGCGCGCCTTTTGGCTGGGTGGCCTGGCCCAGAGGAGGGTGGGGAGAGGCAGGGGCGGGCCTGGAGCCCACGGCCTGCCTCCTTCTCTGCCCTCGTCCCCACACCCTTTCCGGCGCTTCCTTAAAGGTAAAAGGGCGGGGATGTGGAGGTGAGTGAGTCACCGGGACGGTCGGCAGGAGCAGCCTGGGTGTGGGCCCCACCTTCCGGGCTCCGCGCTGCCCCCTGCCGTTCAGCGCTGCGTTGCACGGGTGCCCCTGGAAGCGGTCCCAGATCCTCCCAGACCCAGGAGGTGGGGTTCTTAACCCTGCCAGGTGTGTCTCCCTCCTGGTTCAGGTGAGATAACCCATGTGTAGGGAGGGCCGCAGTTCCCAAGCACTTTCTCAGCCATGATCTCACTTAATCGCTGTGATGTCTCTGGAGCCACACGGACCGGAGAGGTGGGAACACTGTCTCAGAGAGGGGTGCGACTGGCTCAAGATGACGCAGCTACCAGCTCCCTGAAACTCTTCCCTGCAGCCCACTTCCTTCGGCTTCTCTCCCCCTGAGGCCTCTGACCCGTGAGCTCCGCTCTGCGCAGCACGGTTCCGGCCCTTGCCTCTCAGGCTCCCTCGGACCCCCGGGATGCACAGGTGGCAGCTTTGAAGGTGCCACTTAATGAAGAGTTTAACAAGCGGCCTCTGACGCTGCAGCCCAACTTTTGTGATTAGTCACCCAGTAGGTTTGCCGGACACCTTCGCCATCACAGCACAATCTTCCCTTTCAAGTTGGTGGCCTGCTGCCACTTGTCTGAAGAGGTAGCCTGTGACTCTCCGCGCCAGGCCGCCTGCCCGCTGCGAGCTGCCTGCCCTGAATGTCAGCGGGGCTCCCAGAGGGTGGGGCCCCCGCTCCTTGGCCGACCCACTTTCCAGCCTGACTCAGACGCCCTGGGCCGCGGGCTGGAAAGCAGGACACCTGGGTGCTCAGTCCAGTTTGGTCCCCCAGGGGGGACGCTGGCAGCCCGGGGAGAGAGACGGCACTGAGGAAAAGGAGGCTGCGGGGACACGTAGCATTTCGTTTTATGGGGTGGCAGTTCCAGCTGAGTGATGTCTTCCCCAGCCTGCCTTCCGGAAGTTTCCCTGTCCCTTCTCTCTTGAAGTGGCCCCAACCCTGACCCCTGAGGGAGGCCTCAGAGGTGGACACCTCTCTTGCCACCATCTGTCTCTGCTTGGGGGGGCGGGGGGAGCTGTCTGCAGGTTTCATCAAGAGCATCACTAAGGGTGTGGGCGCCGTTCCTTGGAGGGTGGGTGCCTGCTTACCGGCCCCACCCCCAGCAAAAGCTCAGATGGGGTGCAGGGTGGGGCCCCTTTGGACTCCAGCCAGTCCAATCCTTGAGCCCGAGTCTCCCCTGGTTCCCGAGTGTGTGGGCACCCACTTCGCCCTCCTGGAGAGGGGTTTGGCCCAGCACTCAAAGGGCTAAAGATGCAAACTGCCTCTTTGCCACAAGGAAAGGTAGGAGCAATGCCAAGGTGTTTCCCAGGAAGAACAGGGATTTTAGGCCTGACACCCTGAGGCTTTGCTCAAATAGGAGCTTTCAAGTGGGACACAGTAGGAAGGACTTACACCAAATTACCAACTCATAAGGAGGATTTAAATTTTTTTAAAGATTTTTTTTGAGGCAGGGACTTGCTGGGTAGTCCAGGATGGCCTCAAACTTGTAGCCAATCCTCCTGCCTCAGCCTCCCGAGTGCTGGGATTACAGGCCTGTGCCACCATGCCCAGCTGAGGGGTAACTTTAGGTAGAGAGGCTCCAAGACTTTTTTCTCCTTTTTTTTAATGGTAGTGGGGAACTGGGGATGGAACCCAAGACTTTCACACTGAGCTACATCCCCAGCAGCCCCCATTTCTTAAAATTTTGAGACAAGGTCTCCATAACTTGCTAAATTACCCATGCTGTGTATGAACTTACGATCCTTATGCCTCAGGCTCCTGGACTGCTGGGATTATGGTGTGGGCCTCCATGTACTGACAGTTTTCTCTTTTATTTTTTTTGTTCTCTCCAAATTATTCATGGTGAATATGTTATTTTTCTATGACAGGCAGAATAGCCTGGTATTTTTGGAATCAGACTGCCCGAGTTCAGTTCTAGGCTGTTGTAGCCCTGGCCAGTGACCACCTCTGCAAGCCTCAGTCCCTGTATTTATAAAATGAGGTGTGTAAGGATTAAATAAGTGAATGGAAAGCACTTAGTAGAGCGGGTGGTAACGATTACTCTGTGAAAAAAAACAGCCAACTGTACTATTATAAAATATATAAAGAAATACTAACACAGGGCTGGGTTCTATGAAATGAAGTCAGGTCCCAAAGAAGGCTTTAGCCAAAGACCAGACCCTGCCCAGCTGGGTGTCCACAGAGGACAGAAGGGGCAGTGTGTCCTCTACAGACGCGGTCAGGTGGCTCAGTGCTGCCTCCCTCCTGTCAGTCCTGGAGATTCCTCTGGTCTCCGCAGGCCCCGGGCCCTCAAGGACTTTCCTCTGCAGGAGTCATCCAGCCCGAGCTTCCCCAAATCCTGGGGGGAAACCTGGAGGAAGCCGTCAGGGCTAGGAATTTTGGAGCTTCTTCTAAATTCAAGAAGGGGGGCATTCTCTTCCTATCCCTTCCGCCAGGGTCGTGGTAGGGCGCGGCTCACAGCACAGGTTCTAGGTCCTCTGCACACCTTGAATCCTTTTACCCTTCCCTGTCTGCTGAAGCTCCAGGTTGAATCTGGAAGCCAGGCTGCTTGACCCCCCCCTGCTGGCTCTGGCCTGTTGATCCTGACTCAGTTCCTGTCTGTTACCTCCCTTTGCCTCCCGGCCTCTATTTCTCAAGTCCAGGAGCACAGGCAGGCAGGAGGCAGCAGGCCCTGGCAGGGCTCAGCACTCCACATCAGCTGCTTGAGTCAGCAGGACAGCGGCTGAGGCTGCAGCCCAAGCGGGCTTTCCCCACCCTGCCTGCCCCTCTCTACTCTTCTGGAGCATCCATCCGAGCAGCAGCTCACAGGCCCTGAGTCCATACTCACCCAGTCCTCCCTTAGCTTGTAGCAGCAGGCTTTGAAGGACTACGGTGCAGAGAAATCAGTTGCCATCTATCCCTGCTCAGAACAGAACAGGGCAAGGCTCTCATTAATTCAGAAAGAGCTTCCTAAGAAATCCCTCCATCTCCACAATTCAAAGTGAAGAGGTAGGAGCCGGGCGTGGCGGCGCACACCTGTAATCCCAGCACTTGGGAGGCTGAGGCAGGAGGATCTCTGTGAGTTCGAGGCCAGCCTGGGCTACCAAGTGAGCTCAAGTCCAGCCTGAACTGCACAGTGAGACCCTGTCTCAAAAAGATAACAAAAAAACAAAGTGAAGAGGTAACTACAAGAAGCTCTAGCACCTTCCCATGGTTAGTTCTAAGAGGCCAGTTATGCAGCTGAGAGCTTTCTCTCCTAGTTGCCTTTGGGAAGGGATACTAGATTACTTTTAAGTGATTCAGCTGTTCTGAGTCTCTCCTCAAGGCACTGCTGTGCCGAGCAGCCCACATCTCCTAAACCAGTCCAGTCTAGGAGATAGTGGGGAATTTATGCAAAGAGAATGGAATGAGGTCAGGGTGTGGGACTGCATTCCAGCTCTGTTATAAGGCCTTGGGCAGGCCCCTTCCTGCCCCGGGGTTCGGCTTCCCTGGCAGATCCTGGAGGCCGCCCCTGTCGTCATCTCTGAGCCCCCTGCTGCAACTGGTCTCAAGACCTGGTTCTCCCAAGCTGTACTCGTTCCCGGCACAGCAGAAGGGGCAGAAATCAGGCTTTGCTGCTGTGCTGGCTCAGTGACCCTGGCCGGCTCCTGCACCTTCCTCAAGCTTCGGTTCCCTCACCTGTAAAGGGCCGACATCACCTTCCTCTTGGGGTAAGGTGAGACAGCGCACCGGCACCTGGCAAGCCCTTGCCCAGTGGCAGCAGTGATTGGTCCTTAGATCAGAGCGCAGCAGGCGCTGCAGCTGGCGAGAAGGTGCCACGAGACTGCGGCCCCGGGCTGGGCTCCGTTCAGGGGTGTGAGCCGCAGACCAGTTAACCGGCGGTCTCGGCCTGGGCTGGATGGAGCCCTTCAGAGTTCAGGTCAGCTAAGGCTTGACGGGTCTGGAATGGAGACGGGTGTTCTGAAGGGCCAGAGCCAGGCTGCTGGCCGCTGCCCCCAAGTCCTTCCTGGTTTCACGGTCGCAGTACTGACCCGCAGGAACAGAGCCGGGATCGAGGTAAGCCGTGATCAGCACGCCCAGATCAGCGTGCCCGCCGCAGGCCCAGTCAAAGCGACACCAGTCGAGGGTTTGGCAAGAAGGGAATCTTTATTCTGGTTATAAAAGGTACAGGACAGCAGACAAGCAGCCCCCAGCCCTGATCTCCCAGGGCCTGGCTGGGTTTCCTTTAGGCCCTCTGAGGAACACGGTGCCTGAACAGAGGATACAGGTCCCCCCTCACACCCTACCTACTGGGGGGAGGGCCGTGAGAACGATGTCAGGCTGGTTGTGCTTTGAACAGTCACCAAACTTGTTCAGCAGCGTCATCAACACCCCAGCCGGCTCCAGAAGAAACCTGCTCTGCTTGACTATGGCTATGCTAGATTTTGATGATGATGGGGTGGGGGCTCTCAGACGAGATTCTCAGTCTCCTCACGAATCTGGGGAAGGGGCAGGGAGGGAGGACGAGGAGTGTCAGCGTGGTATTACAGCACTGCGCTGGCGCTGGCTATGGCTTTCTGCACTCTGGCCGGCGTGCAGTGGAGGTGGGGGCCACGAGGCCAGCCCCTGCCCCCATGGGGGCCTAGAGCGCACGTGTAGGGCAGGCTGGGGGGCAGACCCTGTAGGCACAGATGGTGGCAGACGGGCCACAGGTTAGGCAGGTGGAGGTGCCGGGTGCCTGGCTCCCCCCAGGCCGCTCCTGGAGAGGCAGAGAGCAGCGGTCCTCAGGAGGCCCTTAAGCCCTCGCACACACTGGAGATCCCCGGCAGGACAGCAAAGGAGGAGAAGAGAGAGGGTTAGTGGGATGCAGGGGGACGTGGCTTGCAGGGGCGTGGGGTGGAGACAGGGGCTGCCACAGCACCTGCCTCTCCCCCAAAGAAGGGCATCAGGCAGCAAGGCAGGACAGAACGGGCAGGTGAGAGAAAACTTCGCAGGGACAGAAAGCCGGGACACAGGCGTGTTAGTGACCAAGGGCCCCTGCACACCAGGACACCCCCAGAACAGGCCCAGGCACCTCAGGACGGCCTCACCCTTCACCTCCTCTTCCAGTGGGACAGCCGCTCTGTGAGAAGCCATTTCCTCAGTCCAGCCCCGCCTGGGGGAGTCCTGGGAACCTGCCACCGCCAGCACACACACCACACCACACACCAGACAGATGGAGGGGCTCCATGGGCGGGCGAGGCATGCGATGACAATGGGACGGTGTGTGAGGGCAGCGGCAGCGCTGGCTGACGGGAGGGTACGGTCTTACCAGCTAACCCTCTGCAAAGAGGCCTGTTAGCTCCCCTCAGGCTGTGCAGGAGATGGCAAAATCCTGACAGGTGTCTTCCTGGGGGAGATACCAGAGAGGTGGGCCCGTGTTATGAGTTGTCTGGCTGGGCCCCGCGGCCCAGGCAGGGTGGGTGCTGGTCAGGGAGGCTCTGGCTGTCACGCTGGAAGCCACGTCTCAGACATTTGTTCGCTGAGCACTCCCTGGGACTGGGGGGAGGCAGCCAGGAAAGACTCGGGGGCCCCAAGCCCCTGTGGCAGGGGAGGTTGGAGGGGCTGAAGAGGGACAGGATGGCTCCGCCAGGTGCCCTCTGCTCTCTCCCTTCCGGAGACGGGGGCCTGCAGCCAGAGGGCCGAGCTGCCTGTCTTCCGTAACACCAGTTTGTCTCAGAGGACGGGGGTTGTCAAATGGGGTCTCAGCAAAGAAAAAGCAAACAGAAAACAAACCAAAGCAAATCAACTCTTAAAAACAAAAGTTTTATTACAAGCAGGAACAGAGAATACTGGCTTAAATAAAAGGCAGGAGGGAGCCCCTCCAGTCAGCTCCCGCCCTGCTTCCCAGGCCCTGCAGGACGGCTCCGGGCACTGAGGCGGGAGCAGAGCCCTTTCCCCTGGGGGGCCCAGTGGCCTCTGGAGCAAGGAAGGGTGAGACCCTCCACGTCCTATGTCCCTTTCCAAGGACTTCAGCCCACTGGAAGTTCCAAGGGCAGGTGGGAGGCTAAGTCTCTATTCAGCTAAGAAAGTGCAGCTCCCAGCTCCTTGCCAGACGCGGCCGACTTCACCTGCCTCTTGGCCTGCCCCGCTGCTTCCTTTGCTTTCGGTGAAGCCCCTCAGTTGGCAGAAACACTGTCCTTTAGACCCTGGCAATGGGTCCCATCAGAGCTCAGAGGAGGGGGCAAGCGTGGCTTGTAGGGTGGCAGCCGCTCCCCAGTGCCATCACCCCACCCAGCACTCCCGGCCTCAGCCTGTCTGGGCAGGTCCCGGCTGGGAGCCTAACCTGGGGACTGGCCGGCCGGGGGTGGGGTGGCAGAGTCCCCGATACCGGTTGTCTGAAGTCCATGGAGGAAGGAAAGATAAGAGGATGGGGGTGGTGGGCCCCAGCGGGAGCCCAAGGGTCCCGTGCTAATGCACGTATCCCCCGTCCCCTTGGCTCAGGCTGCTCCTGAACCTCAGCAGGGATGGCGGAAGGGGGCAGCCCAGGGGATGGGGGAGCCAGCCACATTCACACAGGGACATGTGAGCACGCGCGCGCGCGCACACACACACACACACACACACACAGCCAGAAGGTCTCTTGTGATAAACTGATTAAATCCAACTAGCCTCCTGATAACCCATCACCTGGCACTACACATACAGCAACATGGCTGACTTGTTCCTTTTAAAAAAGGCTATGTAAAAAAGAGGTCTAGAAAATTGTGCAAAATACCCAGCTTAATAAACCCGTTTCAAGTATTGCCAGCATGAGCATAACCTGCCTGCCCTCAGCTCTGACTTGGGAGAGAGGTGGGACAGGCCGGGATCCACGATGGAGCCCCCACGGGCAGCAGTGGGCGCGGCCCCCTGCCCACTGTGCTGCCCAGGACTCCGGGAGCAGAGGTTCTGGGTGCCTGGCTGGTCTGCCTTCCTCGGACACGGACTGTGCCCCGACCCCGCTCTGTCCTACTGGCCAGCTCCATACGAAGTCCTCAAACCCACCGGCAACCCAACAGAAGAAAGAACGATCACTATGAAGAGAAAGCAGAATCCCTCAAGTCAAAGCAGCCCCGAGGCTTCTCTCCCAGGCCCGTGGTTCAGAGCCGGTCGAGCAGTCCCGTGTCACCGACGCCCCTGGGTCAGCAAGGCCCAGACAGTGCCCCAGCTGGAGGCCGGGCATGCAGGTCACACCCTCACTCACACAGGGCTCACCCTGGCACAGGCAGACACTTGGCATGGTCCCCTTGGTGGCCTCCAGAGGCTCTGGCTGTCCCTTCTGCCACTGACTAGGGCCCAGAGGGACCTAGGACCCAAGGCTGTGGGAACCTGGGTGTGGGGAGCAGAGGGTACAGCCATGGAACCATTCAGGGAAAGCCACGCAGCGTGGGAAATAAATATGAAAAGACTCGAGTCTCTGGCAGCCTTGCCTCCCTCGGGTGGAACGGGGAGGGTCCCAGCAGGAGTGGAGGATGGCAGGTGAGTTCAGAGGGGCAGACAGGCCAGTGGGCGGTACGTGCTGAGCCGCATTCAGGGGTGGCCTCCTACCAGGCTGGCGTCTGGCTTCGCTCCACAGGCCGGCTCCTCACTTCTGATGGGCGAGGGCAACACGGCGTCGGACTGCACAAATCCCCTCCGGTCAATGAGACTTCCAAAACACAAGGATGGGGACACATGAGGGATGTGGCCAGTGCCTGAGCTCCAGGCCAGGGGCTAGATGGCAGAATCCAATTCCTGGCCAGGGAAAGACCCGGTCCCAGAAAGGCTGAGGAGAAGGGAGCTGCTCTCCACCTGTGGGCTCAGGGCCCTGCCTTCTGTAAGGGCTTGCTCTGACCTCTGGGCACTGGCTTTCGTCACAGAATTTTTTCAGTGACCTGCCTATCTGTCTATCTGCCAAGGAGCCAGGATGCAGGTGATAGGGAAAGCAAGGATGAGGGGCACTTGGAGACAGCGAGATTCCTGCGGCATCCCTTCAGGCAGGAGAGGTCGCTGGAATTCCAGGTGGGGCAGGACGCAACCACGCAGGGAGGTCCTATTCCCAAGTGCGCACAGCACTGTCACTCCCCTTCTGGAGCTCTGGCACCCCCTGGTGTTAGGATGGAGGCTGTTTCCTGGCAAGGCTGGGCTGTGGGTTCTAGAACTTGGATGCCTCACCCAGTGCCAGCGGGAGGGGCCCTGTGGCTCCCCTGTGAGCACGAAGTCACTATGGTTATCCCTGGGGAGTAAGCTCATACATGATATCTAATGCACTGTAACGTTTGCACACATTTTCTTCCTTTTTGGTACTAGGGATTAAATCCAGTGCATTTGCCTGAGCTACATTTCCAGCCCTTTTTTTTTGAGACAGGTTCTCGATAGATTGCTAAATTGCCCTGGTTAGGCTTGAACTCACAATCCTCTTGCCTCAGTCTCCAAGAGAGGTGGGTTTGCAGACACGGTAGTGCGTCACGATGGCTGGTACATTTTTCCTACAGTGAGCACACACGACTGACTAGCCGCCAACCAATTCCTCTACTTGACAAACGCTAAGTGCACTTAACAGGTGGTGGTGGAAAGGCAATGTCCACGGCACAGGGAAAGGTCTGCTGAGGCCCGAACCTCCTTGAAGGGAGCTGACTCACAGGGCCACCTCTCACCGCGACCCGCTGCCCTGAGCACCATCCCCACCGGCTTACCTGGGAGGTAAGGGGCCACACAGCACAGCGCAGCAGTTGGTGATGATACTTTTATGGCTGTAGGGATTGATAGAGGCCTCACCGCCCCTCTTGCTGGACCATGAGCCTTTGATCTGCAGGCAGGAAGGAGGCCTGGGTCAGCTACCTTTTTTTTTTTAAACAAAACAAAACAAAACAAAAAACCCACGGTGCTGGTGATTGAACCCAGGCCCTCATGCATGCTGGGCACGCACCCCACCACCGAGCAGCACTCCAGCCCGGCAGCTTCTTCATGCTTTGTTTCCTAGGAGGGAGAAGGATGCAGAAAGCTGGCCAACTCTGAAACCAGTTCTAGCTAGACTGTGGAAGGGGTGTGTCTTTGATCCAGGCCATTCAATAAAGATATGGGGGATTGATGGGTGAAAGGGGGTCCCCAACAGTGATTAGAGGCCCCAACCAGGAGAGAAGACAGTAAAACCAAAGAGAAGTTTCCAGAAGGAAGTTTGTTGGTAACCTCTCCCTCCTCTGGCTGACCACCACTGCGAGGGTGGTACTAGGGTCACGGGGCTGAGGCTGACTTGGCTGGGAACCCGGGCCCCAGCACACTGGTTCCATCCCCCTGGACAGCTCCTCTGCGTCTGTCCTCTTCTAGAAAATAAGGACAATAACACTAGTTCTGAGAGCACTGCAGGAGCATTAGGCGACAGCCACCCCTCTCTGGCTCTGTGAATACCGAAGGTACTGAGGGGTTAGCACTAAACAAGATCCACCTGACTGCGACCCAGAGTTTCTCTACTTACTGGGCCCTGATGCCTCTTTTCGCTCAAGCTCTGTAATGCCCTGTGCCACTGGCACCCAGGAAATCTCTGGTAGATGCTGGCTGCTGTCTTCTCTGCTCTCACCAATCAACCAGTACTTGCTACCCTGTCGTGCATGCTGAGTTCTGTTTCTGTTTGAAGGGCTGAGGTTACAGGATGTATTTTCTGCTGGACGATGGGTCCCTCTGATCACCATTGGATGGTAGGCCAGGGAATGTGCACTCCTGTTTGCTTTTTACTGTTTGGGCAGCGGGAGGTCAAGTCTGGCCCAGGACTGGGCACGGTGGGTGCTCAAGCAACATTTGGTGGTGGTGGCCTGCAGGGGAGTAAGTAGGGAGGCTCAGCGGAGCCCTACGGTGCTGTCCTGGCTGCACCCCGACAAAGGGTGCCGAGGGAGCCCCAGTCACAGCTCTGTTGCCTCCAGGTGCAGCATGGTGGAGCAGAAAGATCACGGCCATGACTCCTGGGTGCCAACCCTGGCTCTGCCCCTTCCCAACCACGGACCCTGAGGCGCGTCTCTGAGTCACCCAGTGGAGAAAACGCTTCCCTGTTCCTCTGCCCCAGGCTGGGCAGAAGGACCCAAGGAGATGACAGGACTGGAAGACGTCCATAGCAGTAATGCGCCGGCCAGCCCCGAGCGCTGCGGCAAGTGCTGCCCTACGGGGCTGTGAGGAAGGCAACCCGGAGCCGCGGGAGCCTGCACTGAGGGAAGCAGCACGCAGGGACCTCAGAGCAGCAGGTCTTCCGGCCGGGCCCTGTGCACTGGGAGATGGAGCCCTGTGCCCCCAGTCAGCTTCCCCCGCAGAACTGCAGGCGGTACTGCACCCGGCCACCCAGGCTCCCTCGGCCCAGCTCCAGCCATACTCACGTCTTCATTAGTTGTCAGGTTGGAGGCGACGAGGTAAGTGTGAAACCCTGAGAGGCCCAGGATGGACCAGATGGAGAAGAAGCATATCACCAACTCCAGCACAGTGGGCCGGTCAAGGACACACACGGAGGTGTGGGCCTGGGAGCTCACTAAGCTCAGCCTTTTTCTCTCCTTTTTTTTTGCTACGGGGACTCAAACTCAGGACCCTGCACTTGCCAGGCAGGTGCTGCACCACTGAGCGACATCCCTGGCCCTCATGCAGCCTTCCCTGGAGCTACTTCCCCAGGAAGGGACACAGTCTGGGACCTTCCTATGCCCAGTCATCACTTCTCAACGGGATTACGTTCTAGCACCCCCGGAGGAGTTAAGAATCCCCTAAAGAGCAAGACGAAATCGGGATATGGTGGCAGAGGGAACCGAGGATTCCAAACACAGGGCTTAGAACACGACATGGTCCAGGACGCACGGCATCTTAAGGAACGTGCTCTCTCCCGGGCCCTCAAATCAAGGCCAGTGCCTTCTAAGAGTTCTCAGACAGCCCAGGTCCAAGGTGCCCCAATTTAGAATCAGCTCCAGCCTGGGCACAAACAGAAGCAGCTGGTACACTGGACTCCAGAGGTCAGATACGGACTGCAGCATTCCCCTGGGGGGGCCCCAGTGAAGGGGTCTTGGTTCCCACACGGGCGTCACCCAGCTGGCAAAGGATATCTCGCTGGTGTCTCCTTTAGAGTAGACAGGAAGGTGCTTCCCTGAGAGCCTGGGGAGGAAGAGACAACAGAGCACACAGCTCAGAGGGGCAGTGACCACAGCCCTGTGACCTGGCCCAGCCTGCTGGCCAGTCCCTGCTGCCTCCCTCTACCGCCCCAACTCACGCAGCGTCAGGTGGGTGACCACGCAGGCGAAGATGAAGGCCGTGAGGAAGGACAGGGAGAGAATGAACGCATAGAAGAAGCGGTAGTTCCGTCTCCCCACGCAGTTGCCCACCCAGGGGCAGTGATGGTCGAAGCGTTCTGGAAGAGGGGAAGGGGCTGCAGGTTAGTGAGGTCTGGCCCGCAGCGCAGGGGTTCAGTGGCTCCACCCCACAGCTGCGGCTCGCCTCCCTCTCACTCTCTCCAGCCAGCTGACTCCAGGCCCCTGGCCACACCCTGCCCCTGCTCCCTCCTGGCCCAGTTCCCTCCCGCCTCACACGTTCTTCTCTGTCTCTTGCTGGGGAGCATTAACTCCTCCTTCCTGTCTCAGCTGCGAAGCCACTTCCTTAAAAAGTCCCCTCTGGCCCGGCAAGACGAGCCTCTCCTGGTATCTGCCCTCACTGCTTTTTTGCAGGGCATTGCCCATGTGGGTTTTGGGACTTATTCACAAAGGTTAGAGTGGATCCTGCTCCGCTGGACCGTAAGCTCCAGGAGCGGGGCTGGGGGCCCTCACACGGCGTTGATTTCCCAGCACCCTGTGCACAGACCAGCAAAAAGTACCTGTCTGACCTACTACTCCAGCCACACGCCAACAGCCAAAGACCTGTTCCTTGCTCTAAGATGGAACTGAGGCCGAGGGAGGGGCCAGGCCACTAGGTAACCGTGGCGAGCCGGCCTCAGAGGCCAAGGCAGAGGGCTGAGCTCACATCAGCTGTATGTCCCCAGGGGCAGAAAGTCCCCGTGGGAATGTGGGTCACAAGCCTGATGCACGCCTCATGCCAAGGCTAGCGCCCTCGCAGGAGGCAGGCGGGGCAGACGCTCAGGGATGAATGACACCCACTGAGTCATCCACTTCATCACTGCCTGCCGTCATGGGTGGCTCCCCACTACCCCTTGCTTGGGGCATGCTGAGCTGGCGAGATGAGGTCACTGTCCTGGGAACTGTGCACTGTCACCATGGCTCAGCTCCCCTGGGAGCGCCTGTCTTATGACATCCTCCCAGAGGAGCACCCTGGGTCCCCGTCAGAGCTGCGTGGCCTCTGGACAGCACTGCAGTGTGGGTCAGGAGCCAGCTTCCAGTCCCACTTATATCCTCTTCACCCCACTAGCTCTGGATTCTGGTCCCTCCCCAGTCCTGGGAACCAGATCAAAGTCTGCAGTCCTGGGTGGTAAACCATTCTCTCTCAGGCCCAGACACAGCTGGGATGTTACCGCTCCAGTCTCTCCTGGGGACTTGGACCTACTGAGGTCCAGGCTTACATGAGAGGAGCAGCTGAGGCTTCTGTGTCCCCCATGCACTTCAGAGCTGAGGGGGAAGGAGTCAGCCAATCCTGGGCTGAAGCCAAGACATCACTGTTCTCAAGGGCCCTTCCCAGGCAGGGCAAATCTGGGTGAACCAGACCTGCTGCCAGCCCTGGCTATTTCAGATACTGTTCACCTTGCCCTACGTGTGACCTCCTGTCCCCAGGACTGAGTGTCTCTCAGGGATCCCTGCAGGTCTCCCACTCACCCACACAGTTGTCACAGACGCTGCAGTGTGAGGTCCGGGGCGGCCGAAACATCTTGCAGGTGAAGCAGTACTTTAACTTCACCATCTGCCCGTTGATCATCACCTCCCTCGTCCTCGGGGGTGGCCGGTATGTGGAACTGCCAGTGTTGTCTGAGGGCGAGAAGAAAGAAAGGTGGGGGGAGCCCAAGGCAGCCCAGTGCAGAAGCCCCGGTCAGAAGACGACTCAGGGGAAGGGGTGCAAAGGTAGCCTGGCATGGTGGCACACACCTGTAATCCCAGCCCTCAGGAGGCTGAGGCAGGAGGAGTACTACAAGTTTAAGGCCAGCCTGAACTACATAGCGAGACTCGGTCTCAGTCCTGACCCTGCCAGGAGTAAGCACTGTCCTCCGACTAAGGTAGGGAGGACTCTAAAGAGCTACCAGGCACTGAGGTTTCCCATGTGTCAGGCACTGTGACACAAGTTTACACTGCTGCTCACACACCTGCTGGCCTTACTCACTGCTGAGAAGGGCCACCGGAGCCGGGCTTGGTGAGGCATACGTGCAGCTAAGCAAGCCTGCACCTAGGCTCTGGCTGACAGAAGGTCCCGGACATGAAGCAACAAAGTAAGCGGCCCCGTGAGGAAACAATCAGAGCTAGAACACAAGACACCGACCCCTCCAGCAGCCTTACTGCTACTCAAAGTAAACGTCACTTATGAAAAAAGAGGGGAGCCAGCTGGGTGGCACAAACCCGTAATCCCAGCTACCGAGAAGGCTCAGCAGGAGGATTACACGTTCAAGACCAACCTGAGCAATTTATGAGTTTGTGTCAAAATTTTTTTTAAAAAGGGGGTGCTAGGTATGTAACTTAGTGGTAGAGCCTTATTCATGTACTAGGTTTAATCCTCAGCACCACAGACAGACACACACACACACACACAAAGATGGTACTCCCCTTATTTCACTGGGTTAGAACCAAGGGGCTTCACATTGAGTCATCTTTTTTTTAGGAACTCACTATGTAGCCCAGGATGGCCTCAAACTCACAGGAATCCTCCTGCCTCAGCCTCCCGAGCGCTGGGATTACAGGCGTGCACCACCACACCTTGCTATCCTCAGTCCTTTTTTATTTTAAACAGGGTCTTAATACAATGCCAAATTGCCCAGCCTGGATGTGAATTTGCCACCATCCTGCCTCAGCCTTCCAGACTATTAGGATACCAGGCACACATCTCCATACCCAATGAGATGGTTCTAAATTAATTAGATTTAGAAGACTGATAGACTGATTTTTTGTTTTTTTTTGTTTTTTTGTTTTTTTGTTTTTTTTTGAGATAGGGCCTCACTTTGTAGTTCAGGATGGCCTGTAACTATGTAGTCCAGACTGGCTTCAAACTCATAGCGATCCTCTTGCCTCAGCCTCACAAGTGCTGGGATTACGGACTTGTGCCACCATGCCCAACTCAGATTTAGAAGATAAAAACAAGGGGCTGGGGATTTAGCTCAGCGGCACAGCGCCTGCCTGGCAAGCGCAAGGTCGTGAGTTCGATTCCTGGTACCGGAGAAAAAAACAAAACAAAACAATAACAACAAAAAAGAAGATAAAAACAAATGCAATACATGATCCTGAGCAAACAAACAAACCAATCAAACAGAGAAAACCCAGCAACAAAAGACATTTGGAGGACACTGGGGAACTCTGTGAATTAAAAATTAGGGAACTATTAATTTTCCTAGATATAATGCATTATGTAGGAGACTGTCCTTAGATTTTGAGGCTACACATTAAAATATTTATGGAGTAATGTATCTAAGATGTCTGTAATATACTATGAAATGATTTTTTTTTTTTTTCTTTTGAGACAGGGTCTTGCTTTGTAGTTCAGGCTGTCCTGGACTCACTACGGAGCCCAGGCTGGCCTCAAACTCATGGCAATCCTCCTGCCTCAGCCTCCCGAGTGCTGGGGTTACAGGCATGTCCCATCATGCTCAGCTTGTGAAATGGTTTAATATGAATAAACACATACATGACATAAATAAAATACACTGTTAAAAATTAGGCAATCTGGGTGAATGTAGAGGCATTTGCTGTATTAAAGTTCCTACCTTTCTGTATGTTTGAATTTGCAAGTGTGTGAGAGAGAAAGACAGAGAGAGAAAGAAAGACAGAGATTCTGGGAATTGAACCCAGTGCCTATGTATGGAGCTACATTATCAGCCCCTTTTATTTTTTGAAACAGTTTTGCTATGTTGCCAGGCTGGGCTTGAACTTATGATCCTCCTGCCTTAGCAAGTATGTGATACCACTTCCACAAATTCAAGGCCAGCCTGTGTAACTTGGTAAGACCTTGTCTCAAAAAATAAATAAATAAATAAAAAACTGGACGTGGCGGCACATGCCTGTAATCCCAGCACTTGGTGTTATAGGCAGTTAAATCAGGCAGAAATCAGCAGGCAGAGAGAGAGGGCTGGGCACTCAAGGGAGTCAGTGCAGAGGATGTGGATGCATCAGGACTGTGGCTAGACATGCATCTGAAGAAGATTAAAGTCACAGTGGCTAGATTTACACACTTCCCTAGGGGACACACAGAAGCTTGAGATTATTAGAATCATCCTTTTTCGATTTCTCATTATCTCAACAGGAGTGGGTCATCCTCCCTCACCTACTAAGACTAAAACTAAAGACAAAACTAAGACTACAGATTATCCAATAACGTTAATGGTGTCACTCATGTGCCCTTGCTACCCCTGGAACCGTATTACCGAAGCGACTATACTTGCCATCTTATTGGTTAATCATAATTCTGACCCATGGTGTACCTGCCTCATGATTTTGCTCTGCAGAGCTTCCTTTGAGAAGTGGGCTCACTGGCGACCCATTCAGGACCCCTCCTCCTCTCTCTCAGGAGCTACTCCTATGCCCATTCCTACTCCTCATTCCTTTTCTTCAATAAATTTCCCTACTTTTTTTTTTTTTTTTGTCCTTTTGAGACAGGGTCTCGCTATGCAGTTCAGGCTGTCCTTGAACTTAACAGTTATCCTCCTGGAAACATTTTTATCCAGTCCTTGTTCACTGATGGGACCCCAATAATTTGCACAGCCTTATGGGCAACATACTCTAATAAACACTGCCAAACATGTTACTGTGATATGTTCACACTGGTTATCACCAAAATGTTGCATTTTCCGTGGGTAAAACAATGTTTTATTAGAAGATGCTCTTGGCACAAAACTTCTCAATCCTGGTTTTACCTCTTAGAAGACCTATATACGCAGAGGAATGAATACACTTAGTACACTATGACATTAGCAATAATGAATGTCATAGCTACATGGAAACTGTTGTCTCTTTTTTTCTTGGTACTGGGAATCAAACCCATGACTTTAGGCTTGCCAGGCTAGCGCTTATGACACTGACCTATATCCCCGGGCCCCTTTGTCTCTTAATATAGTTTTGTGCCAGCCTGAACTGCACTTATGCCGCTGAGCTATATCACCGGCCCAAACTTGTCATCTTAAATTTTATTCCTTGTCTCTGTCAATTGCTTAGGCCTGCTGGGCATGGTGGTGTGTGCCTGTAATCTCAGTACTTGGAAAGCTAAGACAGGAGGATTGCTGTGAGTTCAAGGTCAGTCTGGGCTACATAGGAGTTCGAGACCAGCCTGAACTACATAGCAAGATCCTGTCTCAAAACACTAAAGCCTTGTCTCTTTTATGCATTGTCTTTTGTTAAAGTTATGATAAATTTTTAAAAATAAAATTATGATAAATTTATTCAATTTTGGGTACTGGGAATTGAGCTCAGGATGTCACATTTGCCAGACAGGCCCTGTGCCACTGAGCTAAACCTCCAACCCCATGATAAATTTAAATTGAGAACACGGGAAGGTTATTTTTTGGGTTTTTTTCGATTTTCAGTTTTTTTCCAGTACCAGGAATCGAACTCACGACCTTGCGCTTGCCAGGCAGGCACTGTGCCAGTAAGCTAAATCCTCAGCCCCTAGAACATGGGAAGGTTATGATGCTTCTTTAATGGGATATTTTATGCCTGTTTTGTGCATGTTACATTTGGACTTTTTTTTTTTTTGGACTTTTTGTTGAATTTACTGGTTTCTTTCTTGAATTATTAGACAACAGCCCCCTAGGGGAAACTAGTGTTAGAGTGCCCTCTGGTGGACTTTTATGTGAAATGCTGTAAAATAGGTCTTTTTATGAAATCTGGTCTATATTAAGCTCAGGCTTCTACCTACCCTTATAGAACTTTATATAATGGTCACTCTGCCAGCTAGTTAAATGCTTTTATAGTAGCTGCCGCTCTGAAAGCACAGAACAGGTTAACCTGGCACCCAACACTTTTGGTGAATCCCCATTGAAGCCACTGGCCAATGGAATGTTGACCAGACAGGCAGATGGATACCCGGGTGTGGAGGTGCACACCTACAATCCCAGCACTTGGGAGGCTGAGGCAGGAGGATTGCTGCAAGTTCAAGACCAGCATGGGCTACAAAGTGAGCTTAAAGGCCAGCATGAACTATGTTGTGAGACTCTCTCAAAAAGACCCGAGGGGGGGGAAAAAAAAAGATAGGCAGACAGATTCCTTTCCAGAGACAGATCTCTGGTTGTGTGGACCAATGGAAACTGAGAGGAAAACTGAAGGGTCATGGCCAGGGCTACTCTCTGGCAGATACCCAAAGGTCCCTCTGTGGAAGCTGAGTCCCAACGGCTCAGCTGGGTAACCAGCAGAATAAATCATCCCCACCTGCACTCCTCAGTGAGGTGAGAAGTAACTCTTTCAGTGATCTTCTGGTATCCTCTGTCCCACAGTGACCAGAGATGATGCTGTTAGAGCCCTTTCTGAAAGCCTCTATTGAGAGCTGAGCCATCAGTATGGACTTTTCTCTCTACTAGTAAGTTAGAAACTCCAGTTTTTCTCCAACTTCTGGGAGTTAACTTTAGAATCATCTTGCCATTAGACTGCTCCTCCCTCCAGAAATCAGGCTGAGGCAGCTTGCAACAACTATTTTGCCTTTCATGGAGAAAAACAGCTATCAGAAGAACGTTTTATATTTGTGCCTTGGATATGCTAACTAAGTAAGAAAGAGACTTTAGCTTTTCTCTTCCTTCATGTGCATGTAGAAGACTACAGTTGTGCTTTTACTAACATGTGAA